CAGCAGGTTGATTCGAGCAGAAAGCGATGCTCGCCGCGACTTGTTAATAGGGCGGGCTGCTAACTGGCTGCAAGCTCTTCACAGACGCGTTCGCTGCGGCGGAGCTGCACCTGTGCGAGCTGGGGAGGCCTGGGAAGGCCGGGAAAGTCCAGGGAGGTCCAAGGACACAAGGGCGAGAGGCCGCGGCCCGTTCCCTTACTTTAGGTGACTGTAAACCAGGCCCCAGAAAATCTTTCCAGGAGTCCAACTTAGATCCTCCACCTCCAGCTCGAGCTCCCCTCTCACAGTCAGGCCTGGGGAGGCAGGGCTGCTCTTCCACCCGCCCACTCCCCTGGCGCGGCCCTTCGCCCCTACCACCCCAGTTATCAATACCGCCCCTTCTCGATTCGGAAGAAACGGGAAGGTACTTACAGCGGCGGTTTCTCACGGTCCCGAACCTGTTGCAATGAAAACGGGGGTCACTTAAATTCCACAGGATAATAAAGATAGATGATACACAGAAAATTGACAAGGCCCAGACACCCCGCCAATACCCAGACCTCCCTCCTGCTTCGGGTGCCCGCCCCCAGGAACTGCACCAAGTTCTCCGCGCGCGGAGCAGGAGACTGCAGTGCTCAAGGGCAGATCCACGAGGTAGGAGAGTATGGCCCCCATCACCTCCCCCACTCTATGCACCCCTTGAGCAAAACCTTACTTTTTGCTTGGCCCGACTCAGGCTGTCTGTAACAGGGTTTCCCCAGTGGGAAAACGGGAAGCGAGGAGAAAACGGGCCTTTGTGTGTTTTCTTCTGCACAATCGGCGGGGTGGGCGCAGGTCCACTGGGGAGGGGGTTAGCCGCTGCATCTGTCCCCTGCCCCAGCTCCCTGTCTGTCTCGCGCTAGGAGCAACTCGACCCCTTTTCCAATTTCAGATTGGTTTCAAATTCCCCAGCCCCAACCAGCGCTCCCCTAAGACTGTCTTTTCCTTCCCAAAGAAGTACCAGGCAAGGCTGGGACTTGCCTTCCCACTTCTGCTCTAATTCAAAACAAAGAGCAATTTCCAAGGGAAATGAGGACCCAAATGATAATCAAGGAAGAGGAAAACCGATGGGTTTAAAGGTAAATGGCAATGCTTTAGACTCTTACCCAGCTCTATGGATATGACATCATTTCGTCAGCATTTTTGCTGGAGGACCCACAAAGCAATCTTACAAAGCAGTGATCCTCAGAGGGGCTGGTGTTCAGCTTTAAGTTTTCAGTCTCCTCTAGTTTTATTCTGGGATGGCAGTCTTCTCTGAGAAATCACAAAGCCATCTCCATCCTTATCCTTTCTCTCTGTCCACCTAGACTACCCGTTTTATTCCACTTCAGAAGCAGATGCCCCATTATGAGGAGGAGAGAGACAGAAAGTCCCTCTTGTGTGGTGGGAGCCCTCAATTCCTAACTTTCTATGTCTAGAAGGGAGAGGAGAAAACCAGGATTTCCATCCTATTTCTTGATTTAGGTTTAAGCTAAAATTAAAATTAACTTTCAGGGGACTTCTCCCCACACCAGGTGGAAAAGATGGGGCAGAGAAATCCCCCACCCCTGGAGTTGTCCTGGAAAAAGTAATAAGTGACTTACTGCTTTTCTCTCCTAGTGGGCAGGGGAGCTGGGAGCAGACCTGTCTCCTGCGCCCGGCGCTAGCTGGAGCCTCTCACTTTTCTATTGCTGCTTCAGGAACCGAGCATCTGCACTTGTATGCTCTTAACCTAATTTATGGTGGGAATTATATTTTGGCTTGTCAACTCTCAAGCCATAAAACAAAGTTTATTGGGATCACGTGTTCGTAAATAGCCACTCAGGTTCCATCTCTGGCAGAACCATAAATAACCTTCCGCTTTAAACTTTTATTCACTAAATAAAGGTTCACTGCAACTGTTCCTTC